TCAAAACTACTTGCTTAAAGATATAACAAGGAGAGAAGGAGGGGGGGGGATGGAGGGAGAGAAGGTTATCATCTCCCTGCAGGTAGGTGGATGCTGACTGTATTCAGTGATTTGATGTGTGACACTGCTACAGTCGCTAGACCCCCTGCAGTAAATAGATTGTCTGCTGCCTGCTTGCTGTTTTTTCCACCTTGTCACCTTTCATAGGTTTTCATCTGCTGTATTGTCAATGGCAGCCTCCTTCCATGACTTACTAGGAGAGGGAAAGCTAATAACTTTCTCAGCCAATATATCTTGGCTATCTAACAGAGAACCCCTTTCATTTCACTTATCAGTAATGGAAGCCACCAGTTGTCTTTGGAACTGCTCAGATCTAATGTATTTATACACACCTGCCATTTATTGATAAATAACTAAGCTGTAAATATCAGCAACATTTTAAGCACTATTTTCTCCTTTCTATTATCATTACTTTTGGCAACCTATTTACTTTTCAGCAGATGAGCTGGTCTTGTGTAATATTAGGGGAGTAGAAAAATCCTGTGCTAATTGAAAATCAAAATAAATAGAAACAGATGAAACAAGGAAAGTTTATCAAGGGTTTTTCTCGTATTAAAAAGGGGTAAAGCATCTAGGACGTAATGACTAACTGAAAGCTTTACACTGGTTTTTGAGTGGAGTTGGGACAGCTTAACTATGTTCCACGGTTTTTGATGCTGCTTGAGAGATGGGGTAAAAAGTATTGTTAATTATGAGGGTTTTCAGGAAGGCGTGAACTTGACATGAGTTCTATAATTCTTCCTTCTGGACTTGTGATCCTAGAACCAGGAAGGAATGGATCCCTTGAAATTGTGCTAAGATTCAGAAAACTTTCAGCTGTACAGGTACAACTATAATCCAGGAAAATCAAAGATTTAGGGCTAACTATTAAAATTTAACTAGTGTACTACTTGAGCATTATTAAATGCATTGTTGAGCTCTCTTTTATGCTCTGTAATGTTACAGCATAAGGTATTTAGGAAAGGCCATTAAAAAGTCTCAGGCTCTGATGCCAGAGATTAGAGAGCACTGCAAGCAGAAACAGTTGCAGAATCTCTCTCCCTGCTAGCTTTGTAATTCAGTGCTGTTTGCCATCATGTCCTGAACTACATGTATAAGGGAAAATGTCTTATTTGACTCCCAAAACAGTGTGCTGAACTTACTGCTAGCAAACCATGGGGCTACTGGACAGTTAGGCTGGTTTCTCCCATCCATCTCCTCCCTTCCTCTCTCTCCAAAGGGAATGTGAGCTAGCTTACCTGTCAACCCACTCTCACAAAGGAAACGTTTGGAAAATGTTCATGCTCAATTCACGCTTGAAATTCAGTACCGTAGGAGCTGCAATATGTCTGTCACTGTTTCTTTTCACCTGCACCACTTTCAGATCTCCTCACATACATTCATATGACTTCTAAACACTTCAAAATTGCTCACAAATGTTGCTAAAGCTACACCACAAAAGCAGAAGTTGTTCTTGTGTATGTTTTAGAGGCCACTTACTGCAGCAGCGTTAAGTTAAACTTCCAGGGGGTGCTTATGGGAGGTGAAAAAGAAAAACAACGAAGTCTTCAGGATGGAGCTTGGAAAATAACTATGTATTGATGCTGTCACTTTCACACACTAAGGGCTAATGTGGACTAATACCTCCTGAAAGTCCAGCATAATTAAAACAGTGTGTAAACCCTCTATCTGTCCTCAGCTGGTTGAGTTGAAGTGGATCTCCCATGATCCTGGCATTGTTTGTGGGGCCCAACTCTTAGCAAGAAGGCACAAAATAATCCACCCAAGGAACCCCTCAGCAGATGATGCTGGGGTAGCACAGCCCCCTGAGCCCCTGGAGAGGGAACACTGCTGCTCCTATCTGGCACAGAGGGGAGAATAAAGCTTGACAGCTTGCTACCATCAGAAAGACACAATAAACCAGTTACCAGGGAGATGCAGACCCTGAGCTTCTGCTGAAAAACAGTTTTCACTTGGTGCTATTTCCAGTGTTGGAAATGCAAAGGTCTGTTTTGTGTGTTTTATGCAAAGCAGGTTGAAATCAACATCACACTTCATTTGGCTCCCAGCAGTTGAACAGAGAAAACATATAGAACTAGAAACATATTTATTTCAGAGTACTTTCTGGAGGGAAAAATCAAGCACCTGAGCCAAGCTCCTGGTTTGGGCACCGAGTAGGCTGAGGATGTGAAAGTCATTACCTGTTTCAGGCTGACACTGTTGGGGTAACTCCTTGATGTAACTCCATTCTAAAGCCCTTTACCCACTGGTGGGGTGGAAAAGGGATGTTCTCCTTCCTCCTAGCCATGAAGAGGTTGTTGCAGGTGCGTGGCCACCCAGCCCTCTGGGCAGTAACAGCTCATCCTCAGGGCTCAGGCAGAAGGGTACTTGCTCTGTAAGAGACTTGCTCTGGTGTCTTAACTTTAGAAGGTTAGTTTAAAATGTCATTAATGACAATGGTTAGCAATGTTATGGGAGCTTCTAGCTCTAAACTACGCTTTTGTATTCTGCATCCCGTGCAACTATTACGTAAGAGAATGGCTTTTGCCCTGCTGAAAGCTCCTGTTTCAGAGATTTCTGCTTAGATACGAGTTTTATAGTCCATAGGGTTCTTGCTATCGTTGAATAAATATGTGATACCCCATGAAAACCCATGTTTCTGCTTTTGCAGCCAGCACTACCTGTGCAGTGCTCTGTGACAAGAGCCAGATAGCCCAGGCTCATGTCCGATGGAGGCTGTGGGCCTGGAGCTATTCTGCTCCAGTGTCAGCCCTGCTCTTGCTCTTATCCCTGTATTTTTACAGCTGACTTCACATTTATTCAGTGAAGTCGCAAGAGACACCTTCCCTCTGAAAAGCATCTGTCACCAAGCTTTGAAAGAGCCTATGGGGGTGGGGGGGACAGTGTTTTCTTGGTGAAATATATATGATTTCTGATAGCCCCTGTACCAATGGTGGCTTCCTATCTCCTGTTTGTCTTCTAGAGACAAACAACATCAGCTGCACCAGTCCTTTCACCTTTCCTTATGGCATTAGTTTGTTTGAAAGTAGGCTGTGTGGAGCGTGCTGTAAATTACCGTGCGTGATGTGTTTGTTTCCAGGCGCAGAACAAAATACTGAGCTCAGAAGGCAGGTGGCAGGCTGCTGGTGCTTAATTTCACTGTCTGCTGTTTTCATTGCATGAAAAGTTTCATCCTTGGGTTTATATAGACATTGAGAGTTTCAGGTGATCAAAATCAATCATTAAACAGAACTTGTTTGACTCTGACAGATGACTTCTCATTTTTTTTCCCGAGCATCTTTTATCACCTGGGTCCATATGAGAAGCATGAGGCGCCCCCCTGCCAGCCCTATTCCTGTGCCTCTTTCCCCCAGCCTGGGAAGGAATGGCTGCATCTCAGTTCTCTGCAGCACAGCCGACCTCTGGCCGAACCACGTCCTTGCCCAAGTCTCCCATCCGCAGGGCAGAAGCCCCTTGGTGCAGAGCAAGCTTCCTTGGCTTTGAAGTTCAGAGTATGTGATGTCCTTTCTGTTGCATGCAGCTGTGGCTGTTCAGCCAGAAATGCACCTCTTGGTTGCTGTGAGAGGACGAGCAGTGGTGACTAGCACAGCTTGCTTAAACCTGCGACGATGCTGAAGCTCTTCCTTTTGCTCTTACTGTCTCCTCCAGCTGAGCTTCCTTTGGACTGCTGGTGCCACATCGCGCTCCCACCCTCTCGCACATCTGGCAGAGTAGTCACAAACCTGCTGCCAAATTGTGAAATTATCCTTTTCTCTCTCGACTGCCTCAAATAAGCTACCATCTTACGGGATAAGTAACTCCCTACCCGCAGCTTGTCAGCTTGCTGTGGTGCCTTACCAGCAAATAATCTTAACGCAAAGCAATCGTTACAAATGGGACCTGTAGATTATTTTCACAGTGAAAATCATTAGCAAGGATAATTAACTAAGACTGTGGTGATGAATAGCGCTGCACTACTGATCAGTGTAATAAAGAACAGAAGCCACTAATTACAGATAGCAAGCCTTGAAGCCAATGAGAAATTTAATTTAACGTTGCTACACAGACTCCACACAGTCTAATGTAACTTTGCAATTATCATAATAAAATCTTGCCACAGATGATGCTTCTGGGAATGTTCCAGGTACAAGGATGTGTGTCCATCAGGGTAAAATGGTTTGTGATCTATCAATTACAGCATCTTGAGAGAACAGGTTAAAAACCCTGAGTCTGAGCAGGCGCAGTGCTTCTGCATCCCGCAAAGTCCCGAGCTCAGGTCCACTTCCACAGGCTCCAAAGGTCCCAGTGTTTCTGAAGTTTGCAAAGCAGAACCCTAATGTTGTTGTTAGAGATCTTAGAGTTGTGCTTTTACCTAAAGGCATCTCAAAATGTCTAGTTCAGTCTTTCAAAGCACCTTTTTTGCTTGATGTTTGTCATGCTCCATCATACTAAAGTGATGAATCCTGGGCAAGAGGAAGTGATGGGGACCAACCTTGTTATCCCCACGTACACGTACAGCAAACCGTGTTAGATACCTACTAGGAAATGGCCTTCAGCTGCAGCATGCTGTATTTCAACCTCTGAATGAGGCTGTGTGAATTAAATGCTTGTGTTGGTAACCAGGGCTATGACGTGATTTCCAGAAATTGAGGCAAGCCCTCTCTCCTCTCAGCTCTCCATCCTACATTTCATGTGCACTTGGAGAGCATACGGAGTGAAGAAGAAAGCAGTGGGGCTCCCTGGTTTTGCATCTATTTGAACAGGCTGTCTGAAGTTATTTTTGAAAGCACTGCATGTTATCTTTGATTGCCAACTGCGATGTTTATGAATGGTGTCAGGATATGGGTTGTCTTGTGTGAAGATGAGCTTTGCTTTAATGAATGTGGGATGAGGAGCCGATGTTAGTTAGGTGGAGGTGGAGTAAGTGGGATTTTTTGATAGCATAGATGATTTTTTGACAGGAGTATCAATTGCACTGAGCTTGCCAAAGTTCTCCTATCTGGTAAGAATGAAAGGAGGAAGAGAGAAACTTCAAAACGTTTAAAGGCTTGCTGAAAACAGGTAGGTAAGTCTCCATGTCAGTCTCTATTGGATAAGTATTAATATGCTGAAATTAGATTTAAGGAAACCTATCAGTTTGAAAGCTTGTAGTATAGTAATTTGGAAAGATATCAGTTCAGAAGACTTGTAGAGGAAGCTCTTAAAATTGTTTAGGTTGTCAGGAGTTGTCTGGTTGAAAATGTTCCTCCCCTGAGGCAGAGGAATGGACCAATAAGCCCTTCTAGGCTTATTTTGGATATTTTCCTGTAGTCATTGCTCAGATGACCAGTAACCCTGGCTGCACCTGCTATGCAAAGCTCCAGTGTGTTTCAGCTGCATTTCCATTCCCCCAGTCTCCAAGTTAGCTTGGAATAATTGTAATCCTGAAGACACCAAAAATCTTGAAATAAAGTGACAGCAAAATTGGGTTAAGTTCAATTAAAAGAAAAATGCAAGAAATCTTCCCTGGCCAAAAGGACAGGGGGAGTTCAGTCAGGTTGTGGCCAGCTGCTGCCTGACCCTTGTGCCCCATGAGTGTGCCTCTGTTTGCTCTGAACATTTTGATTTTGTGCAGAGGTGGGGAGTCAGGGCTCAGGATCTGTCTGCCACTGTTTTTTGGTTTTGTTTTTTTTTTTTCAGAGCCCAGTGCACAGGTACTAAACCTGCAATGGCCCCAGCCTGATCCTGAGGATCAGGCACAAATCCAGGGTCACAACAGTGCCTCACCAAGTGTTTGCTTCCTTCTTGAATCCATACAGCGAGTCGGCCCTGGCTAGGTGAATACAGTCAGGGAAATAGCACAGTGCCCGAGATGCATCCTGGCTTCATATATTCAGTATGATTGCATTATATTCATAATTTCACTATGATCTTTGTTTCTGCTGGTTTCCATTTGGAATGGCATTTTTGGAAAGGCAATTTTGAGAAGAAATAAAAATAGAAAGCTTTAAAAAAAAAATCTTCATTGAAAACTGATCTTTTAATTAAACTCCCAGAATTTATTTTAGTGCGAGTTAGTGTGACCAGTCAAGAAAAGGTACGGATTGATTAAGCTATTACCATTGACATCATATGGTATTAAAGCAATAATACAAATGAGTTTAGCACTTGTTAGAACATGATGAGAGCAAAAGGTTGTGGTCTACTGAGATGGAGAATGCATCATAATCAAATGGAAAATCGCAACGCAGAAGTTGGCTAGTCCCTACAGAATTTAAGATGTCAGGCAGTGCTCATGTTTACAAAACTTACTCCTACTACTCTTCATCTTGGTACTTGTTACTTGTATGGCAGGAAAATTATAGGCTATGCTTTAAATACAAAGCTTCTGTTTCCCTGTCCCAGATTGCTGACACTGACTGTGAGGTAATATTACCTGATAATATTAATGGTGGTAATATGAATGATAATATGAAAGGGATCAAGACTCATTCTTTACGACTAATATTGGTCAAAAAAGTAAATAAATTTACAGACTAAAACTTCTATTTTTATTAATGAAATGAATTTTTTTCCTGTAGCTATGTGAAAGTGGAAGCTGATCTTTTAAATATTCCATTTATCCAGATCAGATAATTCAAGACACACAGATAAAAACAAATTGCTAAGAGAAGGCTTATTTTGATATACTTAACCCAACTCATTCCAGGAACGTTAATTGCAGTGAATCATGTCACAGTCAAGTTGTTTCACTGAAGCAAAACTAACTTGAAGATTTGTCACTTTTTTCTTTTTTTTTTTTGGATGGAGACTTTCAGACTTGTTAGCAATACATGACTTAATGAAATGCAGTAGATAGTTCTGCCTGCAAAAGAAAGAGGAGTGAGAAAGTGGGTTTAGTGTCTGTGATACCAGCCTGGGTTCTATCAAGAGCTGTCTCTCTCCCAGATCTGTTTAATTCAATGTAAACTTTTGCCCTGAGTCATGTGGATCTCATGCATCCTCAGGTAATGCCCTGATCGTAAGACTATTTGTGAATCCCTTCCTGCAGTTAGAAAGCTCAAAGTCATGGTTTTGTGTAGCTTCATTTATTTGTTGCTTTTATTCGAAAGCAGAATGAAAATGACTTTCTGGAACTGCTCAAGTTGTTACAAAACAAAACTGTTAATTTTTTTTTCTTTGGGTCTGTAGCTGAAGAGCTGCCTTGATCCTCCTTTGTACATTTCAGTTTATATTTGTATCTGGAACATTCAAAAAAGCATCATAAGTTATAAATTTTGACTATAATGGCAGATTTATGTAGCAGATAATGTAAACTGAGACTTTAAACCAATGCCTTCCCTTGTGCTTCATAGTATCAATTACCAAATTAAATGTATGCCCCAATATGATCTTAGCAGAGAAGCACAGAGTAAGTGAATGGAGTAGAGATGAAGTAGCTTACTAATGATGCATGTTGCAACCTCGGAATTTCTTCCAGTAAAGTTTGTTTTAATAAAATAAGGAAAATGCCTGAAATGATCTCAAAGGAGTTACAGATTTGGTAGGCTGTAGTGCTGTTTCTATCTCAACAGCTTCTCATGTCCATAATTCTCTGCAAAGGACATGCACGTGTTTACCCGAGGCCTCCGTTCTGTTTTAACTTGTACTTCATTTTGATGGACAGATCTCTAAACACTCTTCTTGCTCAAACTTAGACTGTTATGGTTAAAATGAGTCAAGACCACACGCCACACCGTCATGATGTAGCACGCTGTCAGAGCACATGTCACTTTAAAAAGCCATTATCTTAAGCTAGCGCAGCCTGGGGTGTGTTCTCCCAGCTGTCCCAAGACAACCTCTGTGAGCAAGATTAATTAATTCTTTGCTCACCAGTCCCAGCTGGTGGTGACATTTCATTACTGCAAGTCCAGCTTTCAGGTTCTCCCCATTGCAGCAAATTGAGTTGGCCTTTGCTGTCCTGCAGCCACAGCTGCTGAGACTTGCCAGTCCAAACGGCTTTCTGCTACAGCTGAAAAACAGGTTGCCTCTGTGTTTGTCTGAATCAGCCTATATGTCCTATCTTTAACAGCAACCTGTAAACCCCCAGTGGTGGAAGGCAGCCAGGCAGCAAGCACGGATGCAGTTGTGTCATTCATCTGGTACCAGAATGTTGTTGGGGATGTTTGCCTGAGAGACAGGAAAGAATTACGGAAGGTTGAATGAGAAGTGGTTTTAAATAATGTGTGTCTGTGGAAGAATATGTGCTAGTTCATATGTTCACGTATATCCAGTTCACAAAATGTTCGCATACATCCAGCATATACTGTATTTTCTGAGAAATAGAGTATCATGGGAAATATGTGGAATGAAGTATTGTTCTCCTCTGTATCTCACTATTTTAACAAGTGCTTTGCTAAATTCAGCTGAACAGATAAAGAAATTACTACATCTCTGGAGAATCCATGTTGGGTCTAAGAAAATCTAGGTTAGTATGATTTACTATTTAATTTTCTCAAATTCCTTAAAAACTTTGGAAGTGGAAAATGCTGGGGGTTTTGTGTGCTGGCTGAAATTGCAATTAGACTCCAGCTGGAGACTGCAAAACACAGCAGAACCCTTGCAGGGAGAGTATTTGCCTTGGCTTCTATTTGAAACTCCTTAGCAATATCACCTTGTCGCAACAGCTGTTCTGAGAGCTGGGATTGGTGTGAATTTCTCCTCCACTGCCTGGCAAGCTGAAAAGATGTAATACATTTTTGGTTCATTTTAGGTTCAGGTATCGCTAGGAGCAATCTTCATGTTCGTCTAAAGGAACGAGATGCTAGGATTGCGAAGCAGAGATTCAGGAACTTATGCAAACTGCTCTCAGTTGGAACCCTCAACTGGGACTTTATTGCAAAAGCACCAGGCAGTAGAAGATCAGTTGCTAAATTAGCCAGAATAAATGTCCAAAGGTACAAAACTACTGCCAACCTGCTCCTTTGACAAGACGGGTGGGTTGGCAGTAGGCCTGAGAAAAGGTCTGCATAAACAAGAATAAGCTTGGTACCTGTGCCACTTCAGCGATTTGCTAATCAGTGATCTTGCTTGGCAGCAATGCCTGTTACAGCCACTGGTTCTTCAGCTGAGCTCTTGGAAAGCTGATGTTCTTGGTTAGCAGACAGTAAGCAGAGAGGGCTAGGTGGGTAGCAAAGGTTTCTTTGGAAAGTCAAGTGTCTTGCGCGGTGAATGATGGGGAGATCTGAGACTGCTCATTAATAAATGTAGGGGCAACCTGCTGCATCTGCTTGCTCTTGTTTATCCGTTTTGTTTCTTGGCAAAGTTCTTGGGAACTTCTTGATGTAGGGATGGTCTCTAGCATGTTTCATGTCATACTTCCAAACATAGCCTCTAGAAGCTTTCTCAGTTACCCGGATGAAATTTTAAGATCCAGCAAAAATATTCTTAATGCCACTGTTCAAAATAGTCTGCCCAGACATCCAGATCCTTGAAAAGAAGGTAGAAAATGTGGGTCACATTTCTTTGTCCTCCCAGGAAGCTCTCTTGACCTCTCTGTAACTCAGTGCTAGCTGGGAGCTATGAAGCATCTGCAAGGATGCTGAGACCTGCTTAGCTCCTAAGGCAAAGGCTGTGTGCGAGTGTATGGGATGGAAACTTCCCACAAACATTAAGGTTTGAAAAGATGGTTGAAAAAGAAAGCAAGGCATGCTGAGAAAGACAGAAACATCAAGTTAGAAAACTAAATCTAGAATCTGTTCTCAATTTAAATATAGGCCTTTAGAAGGAGTCTGGTTTCCAGTCACCACTTTTGTTTGAAAAGCTAGATGAAAAACACTTCCATGCTTGCAGAACATAGCAGTCCATCATGAATTGACGTTTGCTGCTCTGAGCATCCCTCCTAAGGTGTAACGACAGAGTCTCACAGCAGGGTGCCTTGAGGCTGATGTGCTGCGATTAACTGGCTGGGCCCTGGGCATTGCAATCTGTTTGGTGCAGGGTTCAGATTAAATATCAGCGTGAGTGTAAGAGAAAAGGGAATATTCTTTCCCCTCTGCAAGCCCTGACATCAATTGTTTTATTCCTGCAAGCACGGATGTGAACAGAACAAATCCTTATGTCTTGGCACCCACGTACCTTCTATCACTTTCTCTGAGAACCAAGCTTCAGTAGCACACCCAAAGCCCCATTTGAGCAGGGGAGACTGCGCAGTTATGTCACTGGTACAGTAAAGCACAGTCCGTGTTGTCACCATTAGGGTTTCATTTATTGCTGCCTGGGGTGCAATCTGCATTTGTTCTCACCTTGGACTCTTCCTTGGCAAATCAGAAACATATTTGATGCCAGTGTAGAGATAGATTTAAAAAGTGAGCTATGACTATACACGTATTTAAACTGTGTCTGTTTTGGGAGGACATCTATATAGTGTTTGCAGCAGATAAATATCCATTGTCTATAATGTGCAGAAACTACTGGGTTTATCATTAACATTTCTATTCATGTAGCTATAAGAGGAAAAGCAAGTATTCTGAATGTACAGGCAATCTGTTACTGGAAAGTGGGACTGATTAGCTGTGGTCAGAGTAAAATTAGGTTATTTGTATCTTCACCACTTTGCAGATTATTTCTTTTCAAAGGTTTTTCAATCAATTGCTTAGCTATTAGGATATTAAATAGTTCTTCCAAACATCTCATCACAGATAGGGATGAAAACAGTTCCACTGGGAAACCATTCGAGCTGAAAGAGGTCCAGTCAAGCAACAGGTGGACTTCTGTTCCTGAGCAAAGAACCAACCAGGTTCAGGTTCACCATCTCTCTCCAGAGCTGCAAGGGATTCTGTGGTCACTCCACGTTGCTGAGCAGGAAAAAATCATTGAGGTGCAAGTGTTTTTCATATTTAAAAGTGGCCTACCTGTCTAGAACCAGGTATAAAGGTAGTCCTAGAGAGCTCCTGGGTACCCCAGCCCCAAATTAAACCCAATGCTGGGATCATCTTTCAATCCACAGAGTTTACACTTGCAGTAAGAGCTCCTATACCA